CTTTTGTTAAACCTTTGGCAGCTTAAAAGTCTTCTTGCTTTCCAGCATCTGGGCCTTCTTCCTTTCTCTTTTCTTCTCTCTTGCCCGTACATGGGTCCCTTCTCTTCACTCAGCTCCCACTCTTGCTCTCAAACATTCTTTCTGTACTTGTCTGCGCAACAGCACAAGGCCCAGGCTGTGTTTCCAATAACCAGGAATAATGCCCCAGCCTCTTTGACTGACTGATGCACTATCCATGCAGAATACTGTGCCTTGGTCAGAAGGTTTCACAAAACCATGAATGTTAAGATACCTGCTGATCTGCTTTTTACTGTCACTGTCATCTAGATGGAAGAATTTGGTGAATGTTTCTTGACTATATGGTTTTTCTTCTTGCTGTTGAGAAACTGAAGTTAAAGATTTCAAGGTGGATCCAGCCAAGACATCACACACTCAGAGATGTATGTTACACAAAGGTCTGTATTTACTATTTTAAAAAATCAAAACTTCAGGAAAATATGTTTTTTGAACAGATCTACAAAGCACGTAGTTCATGAAGTGCTGCTTATGCTAATTAAACACACATATAGCCTTATTTTGACTAGTATACCTAGAGAGCTCCAAGAAGCTGACATTTCCTTTCCTAAGCCCTTGGCCTCTTCTGCCAAGGCCAGACATCACACAAGTACCTTCCCTATATATCCAAAGACTAGAATACAGCACAGGATGTGGATACTTGCCCATCTTGGGTGAGTGACCTATTGCTTCACCTTATGCCTGAGCCTGCACCTGAGGCATGCAGACATCTGTTACAAGACAAGCTCTGAAATGTTAAGAGATTTCGATTTTACTGTATTCTTAATAACAGAGCAGTTCTAGACTTCAGTGTTACAGGGGATGTTCTTGTGCCCATCAAGTCAACATCTGAATTCTCATTAACTTCAGCATTAAATGGGAATATTCACGGTCCACCTATCAGGGCAAACAGATATGGTAAAAGCCAGAGAACTGTAAATGCCTACATTGAAAAGCTTGATCCAAACATCCTGAGATGCTGGCAGTTCACATCTGAATCCAAGCTGTGCAGTTCAGGAAAAGCTTTATTGATAACCATTCAAGAAATTAGACTGCTGCTTTTCTCCAGTTATGACTTTGTATAAGGAAAGTTTAAGCCTTAGGAGATTGATATGTTTCCAAAATGCCAGACAAACTCTCAGAGCACAGCTGGCTTTCAGTCAAAAACTAACCTGGGCAAGTTGGAATTTGGAAGAAAATAAGGTAATTGCTATATTAATTTATATAGATAATTAAACAATTTAGTTAATTTATAGTTTCTAATTATATGCTGTTATACGTTATTTTTCTGTATCACTAAGTCTCATGAGTAAAATCAGAACTGAAATGACTCTGTAAAACTCACAACAGTTTGCCAAGATTCAACTAAATGTTGCCATCTACTGTTAGAATAATAATTAAAAAAACTTAAATGGGCAAAACTAGCACTGTAATTGTGGAAGAACTCAGTGGATATTTGTGTCCTATTGTGCTAATGCACAAGGGACTTTTCTTTGAATGCACAGGCAATAATATGTTCGTAAATCCTTCTGTATGTCAGAGAGAGAACAGAGTTCATTGTTTGCACGATCTCATTATGATTACTTTTCAGCTTCTAAAAATGTTGTAATAGTTTCCAGATCCAGCATTTACGCTATTCAGTATGTTCAGAGAAAATAAGCTCAATTGAAAACCGTGTTCTGAATGCTTCTCATCTGTGATTTTTTTTTGACTGAGCACACAGAAAAGTGCTAGTAACACGCATTGATTTCTAAACATTTACTTCTCCATTATTAAAAGTTCAAAACACCCCCCTTCCCTTTACTGACTAATGCATAAAGGATTGCTTTACATAAAGATCAGGCATGAATATTCGGGTAAGGACATAAAGACCAATCCATTACAGAACTCCTGTTCTGACAACAGAAAAAATACTGTCAGTCTTTTACTGTATATACAACAGAAACAGAATCTAAAAGGGGTTAAAGATCTCAAAGAAGAGGCTGTCTCTGAAGCTCCAAAAATGAAGGTTATATGGGTGTTCCCATAGATAATAGTGGAGCAGGAGGGGGATTTCAAACAGTTATGGGATTTTTGGATTCCTGTTGTGGATGCCTTAGCTGGCATACTACACTTATTTCTCCCTGTCCCATATTTACTCATTGAAAGGAATTTTCTACATCAGATTCACCTAACAGTGCTTAGTATGTTCCAGACAGGACTTCGCATAACTTTGAAAACTTCTGGTTTAATTACATTCTCAGACAAACATCCTCAGTTGCCTGTCACAGCCACAAGATGTGAAAAGGTTGGAGGCTAGATAGAAAAGAAGAAATCTGAATACGGAAGCAAAAAGCATGCATGGTATCATGCAGTGCCACCTACAGCGGGAACTGAGAATTATAAATGATTTTTTGTTGGGGCTATAGAGACATAAATGTTTCAGCTGATGGAGCAGCATTGTAGAATGGCTCTTGCTCAGCTGTGCAACACAGAAGATAACACTGGAGGCAATATTAACCATATTTATTGTTTCATACTTTCTCTGAATTCTGACTAATTACGTTTCTTTGATGTACAGGAATAAGATTTTTTATCATATAAGATTTGATTCAGCAGACAAGTGCTGTTGATGTGAGGCACAGTACAGGATGGATTGAGAGACATTGAGCAGTAGCCCTGGACCTTGGAGATGTGTCCTGAATAATTTGTTGGTTTTTTTTTTTCTGTGTTATCAGCATGAAAGCAAGAATGGGTCTGCAAAAACCAGTATCAGAAATAATGTATAAGTGTCTTTGTTAGGAGTTATGCAATACAGGCCAAAGCTTCAAGAACTTTTTGTGGTACAAAAAAGGTGAAGTTAGGAAAGCTGAAACTTAGTGGGGGCTGAAGTCATCAAGGGACATGAAGAGCAGCAATAAGGGCTTCTATGGAAAAAGCTAAGACACTCTGTGACTTCTTTGCCTTGATTTTTACTGGTTATGTTTGTCTTCACGTCTCCTAGGTCCCTACTATGTCCTAAGTAAGACTACTATCAATGTCCTGGGGAATCAAGCATTACCCAGGCTCAAGGATTGAGCTAAAGAGTGCTCAAGCAGGTTGAACATACACAAGTCCCTGGGGGCCAGACAGATGCATCTCAGGATGTTGTGGGAGCTGGCTGATGTCCCTGAGAGACGCTCTGTGCCACCTTCAAAGTGTCACGGTGTTTTGAAGAGGTTTCTGATGACTCAAAAAAGGTAAAGGACACACAGCCTTGTTCATACAGGACAAGAAGGTGGGTCTAGGGAACACCAGGCTGGTCAGCCTCACCTCATTCTGTGGTAAGACTATGATGTGAGTCCTCCTGGAAGCCATATCTACACGAATAAAGGAGAATAAAATGATTTGGGGTATGCATTTAGCAAGGCCAAATCATATCTGACCAACTGGATTGTCTTCTGTAACATCCTGTGTATAGACAAGAGGAGAGCAGTCAATACTGTTTATCTGAGCTTAGTGAGGCCTTCAGAGCAATCTTCTATAGCACACTTACAGCCAGACTGTACAGATACAGACAGTACAGCCAAACTATACAGTAGATGGAAAACTTTCTGGACTGCTCGGCTCACAATGTAGTCATCAGCATTATGAATGCTATTGCTGGAAATCTGTGGCATTGTGCAGATACGAGTCTGGGGCTAGAAGTGTTTAAAGAAATCTTTTGCTTGCAGATGTTTTGATTATAAAACTTTTGAACATAAATAAACAGCAAAATTTTCTCTCTTCCAGACTTCTAAGGAACTGAATCCAAGCATATACTGAAATTTCTTACACTTTTTTTTTTTTTCTTTTTTTTTTTTCCTATAGAAGTTACTCCCTTGTTTTAGTCTGCTTTTTGGTTAGAATTGCCAGTTTATTGAGAGAAAGGCTGGTCATAGCGTGGTAATTCTAGATCTAACAGAGGAAGCATTTCACTACACATGAGAAGTAACTACTTCCAACAGGTTATCGCTTCACCATCCTTTACTGAGGCTTTCCTAAACTCAAGCTGCTCTGGAAGACATTCTGCATTAATTCTAGCATAAAAAAAAACTCCTGTAGCTGACATGACCTCGTTTTTTTTTTTTTTTTTTTTACTAGGACTTCCACCACCTAACGCTGTCAGAGAAAACCTTTTCCCCAAAACCACAGCTGAAATATCTGGCTTCAGCATGTCCAGAACATTGCTGCTCTGACACATTGAAAGGCATGTCCTCTTCATAGATGAACCATGCTGTTTTTGTGCAGGAGCAGACACATCGAGGGATAGTTTCACCTAAACCAGAGCAGAGATATAACATGAATAAGGAAGCAGTGTCCAGTTCAGTCTCGCCCATGCAGGAGAAGGCTCAGTGGGGATCTTGTCAATGTATATAAATAACTGAAAGGAGGGTGTAAAGAAGGTGCAACCAGCCTTTTTTCCAGTGGTGCCCAGTGACAGGATCAGATGCAATGGGTGCAGGCTGAAACACATGATGTTCCCTCTGAACATTAGGAAACAGCTTTTCACAGGGTGTGCCTGAGCACTGCACGGGTTGCCCAGAGAGACTACGAAACCTTCATCCTTGGAGATATTCAAAATCTCTCTGAACAGTCCTGTACAACCTGCTCTAGATGTCCCTGCTTGATCAGAGGGGTTGGATTGGACAGCCTCCAAAGGTCCCTTGCAACCTCAACCGTTCTGTGATTATGTGACTTGGAACAGTTTTTCCCCATAGGAAATTGTGGCGGACTAGTTCCACCTAAGTATAGCCCCTTTCCATGGTAGTTAGGAGTGTTGGATACAAAGAAACAGACGGTAACACGCATATCTAACATGTATCTATAGGGAAGAGCACAGTCGTCCTAACCGTGTAACAAAGCAAAGAGTTCCCACAGTTACACCGAAAGACGGTTTTGTTCCTTCTTCCCAGTTTTGCTTTTTTTTTTCAGCATATGCATATTGGGGGTCAAAATTTAAGTCATATGAATAAAATCTCAAAAGGTCTAGGTATGTAACAGTCAGATATTAGGCTGCTACAAGAGGCAGGGAAGAGGAGCAAGATGCAGTGGGATTTATGAACACCAGTTCCCAGAGGATCTTAAATTAGACATGCAAAATAATGCAATTTAATATGGAACATGCTTTCTCTCTGTTTTGGAGACAAGTTCATCTGTCCAAGAGAGCTTTCTAGGCTTAATTGGTCACAGTTTCTGGTAAGGACAGAATGTTACAAACAAATCAATGAAACTTTGCAACTTGGAACAGAAACATGTCACACTTCCTAACAAGCTCTTCGTTCAAGCACAGCAGTTAGCGTATGCTGAGTTCAAGGAGAGCAACGATCAAGAGGGAAACTAGTATTAGGAAGAACACTTCTTGTCATAGCAAATTTTGGTTTTGTACCAGGCTTTGAAAAATGAGGACTTTCTTGGAGATTTTATGAATTGTAGTATTGTTGTATGTCATTATCCTGATTTCCATGATATTTGGTGTTTTTCCTTAAGCAATTGTTGGGGACTGAGGATTATATAATAATTCTAATTTTAACCATATCATTGTAACTAATAATAATCTACTGATAAAATTATTATTATACAATGTCTGTTTTCATTAAGAGCATCTAAAAAAGTAGATGTCTGGTTTTAACCCCCTTCTGCACAGCTTCTTCAAAAAATATGTTCTCTTTATCTCTTAATGGTGTCATAGAAGATCTCATGATTTTTAAACTGGTCTCATGCTTTTGAAGGAGAGTGCTGAGCAATTTTTCTGCTCTCATAGAAAGATCTGAGATACAGCAGGCAGTGAATGAAGCACTTCAGCATTGAACAAGGCATAATATGGTTTCCTTTGCTAGTCAACATCTTAGTTTCTTTTCACAGAAAGGAGTTAGCTTTCTAATGACTAGTGAAAAACAGTCTCAGGGCAGGCCTCTTTGTCCTTACAGAGCCAGTAGTCTTCATCAGTGGGTCAAGACTCCATGTAGATAAATTTTTGATTCCTTGTACTTTAAGTGGTGCTTTAAACAAACAAGGTCAATAAGAAAATACAATTAACTGAAACAAATTACAAGACTCAATGAGCACCAAGACTTCGTCCAGAAGACCTACACAGATCCGTACCCTTTCCCGCAAAGGGAGTTTGTTTCACTTAGCAGAAATGCTCAGTTAAATACTAAATTATTGAAGATTTGGGGGTGACAGGTGGGAACAGAGAGGAAGGTAGTGAATCCCTTAACCAGATGTAGTAAGTAAAAAATTACATGAAATGAGTTATGAAGTCTTAACAGATAAATAATTTCGTGTGATTTTCATAGAGCATAACTAAATGCAACCACATCTGTGTAAACTACCAATACAAAAAAAGCCCCGTGCTCTGTGTTTGACAGTAATAAAAATGTCTTTATGCTACAGTTTTAGTCAAAGTGAAGTCTAAAATCAGGATTTATTCTATCATTTAAGTCATGCTAAAAAGTATGTTATGACTGGCATGGCGGTTACCTCTTTTTGCTTCAACTTATTATTTGTATAGGGCAATAACGTCTCTGAAAAACTGTAAAACTCTATTACTTAATACTCACAGAGGCTTTAAATATTTCCAACTGGTTATCTTTGTTGAGACTGCTGCTAGTCATTTGAATTGGAGCCATGTTTAGGACAGTATTACACATACTGGTGTTAAAATTACACATGTGCTGGGTGACCTTCCTTCATGTGTTTCATCCCTAATTTGCAAAGCATTTTTCTATCAGCCATGGTTAGTTTACTTTGTTATCTGGATCTTACAGATATGAAAAATAAGGAGTTATAGTTGTATGTCTTGCTGAGGACTGGGAGAGAGGAGAGAACAGAAATCAGATTTCTGGGCTGTCAGTGATTTGCTCTCCTCAAAAATACCACAGCAATGAATGCACTGTAGTCCAACGATACTGATAGTGTACTGTGAAATGAGAGAAGATAAGGTCATGTTTGATAAATGCTTCATGGTACTGGTCATTGCAGGAGAAGAGATTAATTGCCTCAAGGTTACTTTAACCTTGTCAGGTTACATTCATTTAAGACAGCTCATGTAATAATTTGTTTGGTAAATACTTGATTGCATAAATATTTGGATCCTATAGCTGTAATTGCTACTAATGCACCCTAAAAGGAGGTTTATTATGCTTGGGAATATATCTGATTTTGAAATAACATTTATCATTTATATAATTGAATTAGTATCTAGATATCATAGGCAATGTACTGTCTTTTCTGAGAAACAGGGATTTGCCAACATTAACAAATTAAATACTCACAGTGCTTTTGAGAGGTGGAAAATTCCATTATATATAGATTGAATGACATGCCTATTGTGGTCAGTGGATGCAAGACTATGGACAATTTTCACAGTCCCTTTCATATTACAGACAGGTGAGTTATCAACCATAATGTTCAAGCACAGCTGAGCTAGGTTAATATTATTGTTCCCTCCCATCATCCTCCAAGAGTTTTTGTATTTCACTCCTAATCGGTCTTTCCTACCATGAAATATGTTCAGGGAATATGAGAGGCTCCTTGGAGGGTGAACACATGGCTTGTTATGCTGGTAGATGTGAACTGGTTATAACCTTTGGTGAATGTACCGGTGTTTAACAGATGAGAAGTGGCAGCAGTAAACCTAGTTCAATCACAGACAGAACAACATGTGAAACTGCAATCACTTTACAGCCCCAGCCTTATAAAAAAATCCCCCCTATCGCATGTTTAATATGATTCTGATGTAGATAAAAAAGGGAAGAATATTGAGGGATATGGTAAGTCAACAGCATTCCTGCTTATGGGAAAACCTTGTCACCTTGCTTTTCGTCCCAGTATAAGTACTTTTGCCAAAAAAAGTACAGATTTTTAGTTAAACAAATCAGATCCTTCAAATGTTCAAAACGTAGACCTAACTGGTTAAATCATTATAAAACAATAACTCCCTTTTTACACAATCATTTAATAGCCAGCAAGTAGATTCTAATAGTGTGAGTCAATCTCCAGGGTCAGATGGTGTTAATCAATGGCCTTAATTCAGTTCTGAGGTTTAGGTTATGGTATTACCCAGCTCCTGGACTGATTTTTTTTACCTGGTAACCGCTTAACATTTTGTTATTTCACAGGTATCAACCAACCAATTATTTGAGCTTTCAGAAAAGCAGGTATTCTCTAAAACTGTTTCTTCAGCATAAGAAAATCTCTTTCAGACCAGTCAAATGTTGAGTGAGGGGTCACAGGTTAGATTTCTCAAGGAAGTCAAAAGTTTGACATTATTGTGCTTGTTCCTTGTGAACTCCTGCCAAGTAAATCTTAATTAGTTTACAAATCTAAGCCAGATAATTTTTATGCTCTATAATTTTATAACATAACAAAGTATCATGAATATGAACTCTTTAGCACTTTTAGCTGCATGTAGCACATTAAGTAAGAAAATTGGAACATTTTTAAAGAACATACATGTGGGGTTTGAGTGGTGTTTTTTGTTTATTTGTTTTGCATTCAGCATATGATACAGTGAAAGACCTCATCATTGAGCGTAATGTCTTTCTAACTTTAGGACTGAAAGTACTGGAAAGTTCTGCCACCTCCAGAGCAGCAGCTCTTTTTTTATCATCGCCTAACCCCCATATTCAATAGGTAATTAGCGCAACAATATCTGACTATAATCATCTGAACCCCCTTATTTTAACATTAATGAACATTACAATAAATTTTAAAGCCTATTGGTTTGTTACCAAGAATAGAAAATGCGTTTATGTATGGTTTATAGTGTAGGTTGTTGAACTGGTGCTTAGGGAGCAGATGGTGCAGCCAATATAAGAGTCACAACTGACCTGACAAAAACTATCCTCAGAGATACAAGATGGTATTTAAAAGAAGAAGACAAAAATTACAGTATCTTCTCATTGTAATCTGAAAAGCCTCACAGAAACAGGACAAGCAGTAGCATGTGTGTAGTTGACACCTGACTATTGACTGTGGGACAGTATCAACACAGAAATGAATTTGAGCTCTCATGGGCCCAATGGTACACTGTTGTTCTCTCATTGACAGTAACAGTATTTTATTAGACAAATGCTTAAGTTTGTATTGTCAGCATCATACAGAATGAACTCCTGATATATTTATAATATACCATCTACTATGCTTGTGAGGGTGTTTTCAGGACTAAGCCAGTTTCAAATCTGAAAGAAACATTAAAAACAGAGAGGTGAAAAGGCTTCTTGATAGCCAAAAACCAGAAAGTAGTCCTGTATGTACATGGACTTAAACATTGGATCTTCTGAGCAACAGCAGTTCTGGTGGTACCAATGTTACCTTTCTCTGAAAAAAAATTGGTAGTGGGAGTGGCAGTATCCCTAAAAAGGCTCAAAGAAGGAACTTGAAAACACCTTTACAGAAGGTGAAGCACCATGTCAAGTTTTAGCAAAATCATACAAGGATTTGATCAATTTGCACAACAGTCTGCATCACTTTTTATGAACTTTTTATGAATCATCTTATATTTTATCAGTCTATTGCTAATTGTGTTATGATATGGTTTTACACAAGGCTTATAGGGAGAAGCTGAAAGACAAAATGAGTTTATAAGTTTCCTTATAAAAACATTTTGCTCTCCTGTGTTTAGCGCTGGTAGCTTTTTTCTTGCAACAGCAAGGAGCACGGTCTGATAGTTGAAAGTAAATGCTAAGCTGCAGCAGCAATATCTGTGAACAGTTACTACAGCCATAAGCACTATGAGGTGATGACGGTAGGCAAACATGACTATCACGAGACTTCAATGCAAATATCCATCAGGGCAGCAAAGCAGACTCCACAGCAAAGAACAGTACTGGAGCTTCAGATCTCCAGTGTTTACCAGGCATGGGATAGTAGCAAAATACTGCTGGGAGGGTTATTCTCTTCTGCTAATGGCTATTCATGTATTAGTGGAATTATACAACTAGTTATGGTGAAAGTTTCAAGAAACTAACAACATCTTTCAAACTGATGAAGCATGGAAGCTTGGGATTCATAAGTAGAAAGAGGGGGGATTCGTGGTTTCTGGTTGAAGTTAACAGAGGACAATACTGCCTAGACCAGGATGAAGATAACAAGCTGCTTGGCTGCAGAATTGTGGCTGAAAGGTCATTTCATTCCTTGTTGCATAATTCTGTTGAGAGAAATTTTCATATTGGAGCAACAAACCAGAGAGATCTGGTTTTTTTTTTTGAGCAACAAAACCTAAACCTGATTAAATTTTATTCTGGGTGTCATGTGTACCTTGTTTTGTGAAAGCTGAATTTCTGAGAGTCTAATGCATTCTCATTAATTTTTCTTTTTAGCAAAAATCTCTTATTCAAAAAACTGATTTTGAAATCCTTTTCCTAACTTGAAAGATGCTTAAATACTATCCATTATCAGACACATTTTGGTTGTGATTGGAATGACCTGATGACAATTCCTTTATTACAGCTGTCAGTCCTCTACACACCATGTTAAGCAGCCATTGCATAAGAGAGCTGTGTGAATATTTCCTTTGTGTTTTTGCCTCGTGGTTATCCTTTTCTTAGAACAAGCTGTAAATCAAGTTAAATGTGGCTCCCATAAACTTTTTCCACCATTACCTTAGTTATTGCATGGAAGAGTTTCTTGTGAGCAACAGTACTGTCTGCATAGCCAAACAACCTCCATTTGCTTGGCTCCTCTGTACTATAACACCTCAAAGTCTGAGAAGTCTTTGCTGATCACTTAAACAGATGGTCTTGACTGTAGCTTTCCATGCATCTACATCAAATTCAAGTATAAAACGTAGGATTTCAAACCATGAGTCTCCAAACAATAGTCTGTTCTTGTCTGACATGATCATTATGGAGGGATATATCACTTCTAAGCTGCCTTGGAGCTAGAACAACTTCCAAAAATAAAAAGTAAAGAAAATACTGGTCATTAATTAAGACAAGTTTTGGCATATGTGTGCCATGCAGAATGAAACACAGCTGGATGTGTATGTGTTAGCTTTCAGTCACTGTCACTGTTCCCCTCTGGTTTCTTCTCAGCATTATGTGAGGCAAGTTTCTGCATCAGGAGAATTCTAACTGAAGAGTCATGGGTTGTTTTACGGATTTTCTTAGGCACACATATGTTTAATTTGCCAGCCAAATTTACTTAAAGACATGTTAATTACCCAGTGTATTGTTTAGACACTATGAAAATTCATGTCTAAGTTAAAAAAAAAATAAAAAATTCACTAGCTCTTACATTAAGCCAGTACTAACATGGCACAAGAAATTAATTTTTAAATTATTTTAAATTGTGAGATGTCCTCACAAATCAGCCTCAGGTTTTGATAAAGGATGTTTTTTAAAAAACTATATTGAAAATAACGGTAATACACTTCAAAACCAAGTTTTTTACCTTTCAATAATACACTGCATAAATATTCTAGTCATTGTGCTGACTGTGTTAAATTCTCATATAATCTGTCCACCCATAGTAACTCAGACAATTAAAAACAAGTATAATAGGAGGCTCAATTTCTAAATTTTTCCCAGTTGCCAAGATAATACTCTGTTGCAAATGTTTGGTTTAACCACAAGAGCTTTTCTGGCTTGTTTAATGGTATGATGATCAAATCAGGACAATTGCAGTGGAATTTAGTTTATCAGAGAGTGTGCTTTGAAGCACACCTTAGGGAAGTGGTTTGGGTTTTGTGTGTGTGTGTGTTTGTGTTTTGTCTGTTTGTTTTTCCACAGAAAATTGCACAGAGCTTAGCAGCTGAGTCTGGATTGTTAATGTAGCCCAGGAAAAAGCCTCTTACTCTAAGGCTGTTTTACTAAATGTAATGTCATTCAAGAGGGAAATAGCCCATCACATGTATCCATGTGTTACTTTATGCTGATATGATTGCACAGGAACAGAAATTCAGTGCAGTGAAAATTTAAGTCATGATACACAAGGAAAGAAAGTTAGTGGCATAAGGGGAAGAGAGATGACAGGGTGCCAGGATTTTATTGGCAGCAACAGCATAATCTCAACTGTAGCACTAACATTTCCTGCAATACCAAAAATTGTATTGCAAAGTGCTTCTTAGGGCCATGGGTTGGGACAGAGGTCTGCTCTACTACTGTAAATTAGGATGCTTATGCACTTAAGGGGTCTTGCTGTGCCCAAAGAGCCACACCTTGACTACAAAAAAGATGACGTCCTTCAAAATCTACTTGCCTCTGGGTTTTGTCTTATTCTGAAGACTTCTTTCCTTGACATTGCCATTGTCTACTCTAATGTAAGGTAATTTTGCCACCTGTGAGCTAAATTTTTTTCTGCTTCTCCTACCAAGTTAGGCCCAACCACTGCTTCCTGGGTTATTTTAAATGGGGAAATACTGGAAACACAGTGTGCCAGATTATTTCAAAGAGACCTACTTGTATTTAGTACCACTAGGTCAAGATTCCCAATTTCTGAACTATCAAGCTTTTACCAAAATTTCAGCAACCACAGTCAATTAGAGAAACATAACTAACAAGCTATCAAATCAATCTCTAGAGGCTCATGTTTTGTATTCAGACATGCTGACAGTCTAATGCAACAAGCTTTTCCCTCAGTACCAATAGTAACTAGTCAAGTTCAACAGTTACGAATACACAATCCTAATCAAAGGCAGAGGCATACCTACTACTGTTGCAAACATACTTTTGAGTTTAAAAGGTTTTAAAAATCACTTTTTTTTTTTTTTTCTTGAATGACACCTCCTATCACACAATCAGTAGCTTTGCTTTGGATTCTCTGACAATAATCTATTTTGGTTTCATTTTAAGAGAAGCGCTGAGGATGTATGCAACACAGAAAAACTACTGAACTGCCTTAAATACGTAAGCCTCAAATATGTAGATACACATTTAATAAAAATTAAGAGCACGTTATGGCATGTATATGGCATGACACTGTACGTGAGTATTACAGATGTAAAAGTCCTTTATTTAGCACATAGAATCTTAGCAAGCAATGCAAATAAAGCTGTACATATGTGTCTAGGTGCAGAAACGTGGCTTTGTGCACTAGTCAAATAATTTAGACCTTTGGATGAAATCCAAGGCACTGCAAATATGGGACAAGAGAAATTCTTAGAAATGGAATTAATTTGCAGCTCAGTTGTGGATGTTCTTATTATTATGCCAGCATATACAACCAACCACATTGGGTGGACTTATTAAAAAAAAAAAAAAAGGAATGCAAGAAGAACATAGTCTGAATAGACTGGCAAAATGTCTTCTTTTTGTTTGTGGTTAGCAGAAGAAAAATTAGCCAACACCTTTTTTTCTTGATCACTGGGGGTTTCACTGAAACAGTATAATCTATATTCATTCACCTTGGCAAAAAAGAGAAGCTAGAAAATTCCAAGCGATCTTGCTAATCTATACATTTAACCATTTATACTCATGATTTGACACATCTAACTCCCAGCAAAAATATAACATATGCATGCACTGGGCAAGATCCATGATGCAAAGCCTTTGTGGATTCTGAAAATACACGAGAAGAGGCTAAATGTTTTTTTTGCCGACTAAGATGCACATCTTCTAGATATTGCTTACTTCTCCGGCTCACACAGGC